ACGTCGCCTCCAGTTTGCACCGCGGGCCCACACTTTGCGCTGGCTAATAATGATCACCAGGGACGCGGTGAGTATAATGAGCTTGACAAGTCGTCGACGATGATGATGGACTGCGTCGCGATAGAAGCGAGGGGGTTGAAACAGGCCCTTCGTGATCCTCGCTACTGAAAAGATTCGACATGGCCAGCTGGAGCGACCGCGCTGTTTCGCCTTCCGTTTTCATTCTCTGCATTTCCGGGGGATGATATCTTCGACCATATACGGGCTCGCGATGGGGGACAAAATATTAAAAGCGACATTAAATTTGCGTCTTTATGCTATATTTCTGAAATATGTGAATATCCATATGTGGCAGAGATATACAACTTCCAAAAGGTCTTACAAATTAAATTTTTTTCTGAAAATAACAACATGAAAATAAAATGAATAATGTTCAAAAATAATTATTTTATAATATTTTATAATATTTATTTTCGTAATATTAATTTTAGTATGTGTGTGTGTGTGTATGTTCATATTTAATATTAATATGTTCTTATGTTTATGCGCTTAATATACTTATCAATACATGAAAAATGTTAGGTGGGCCAATTTTAAACGCGTTAAGATATTTTATGATATTACAAAAGTCATTTTTGTAGAGACGCCTATGCTCATGCGTTGCTTTATGATAAGCGTGTAGAGCCGATTATCGTATACATATTTTATGTGAATGACTTTCATGTTTCGCACGTTGGGTACGTAGCGAACCCTCCTCGAACTCAAGTGGCCGAGTTGCGAGAATCTCTTTATTATGCGAAGGCTGAATTTTTATTCATGAGTGTTGGTCACAGTTATGCCATTTTGAGGATGTAGACTTCGAAGAGATTGATGACATATTTGCATGCCATTAAGCATTTATTTTTATTGCAGCAAATGTATATGATATATATGAATCAATCTCATATTTATTTCAAAATATATTGATGTTACAAGACAAAAATAACAATATAAATAACTTCTGTATATATCACATATCGACAACATAAATATTGATATTTACTGCATGAGGTGCATATATAAATTAAAGAAAAATATATAAACCTCAAGAGATAACTCTTTGAGGTGAACAAGTTCTTGGCGCCCTCTACTAACCAGTCGATGATAGAAAGGATCTCTAGATCTGAATATGTAGAGGAAGAGTTGTGTAATGCAATAAGGAAATGAAAATAATGGCTTGGTAAAATAAATAAAATAAAATAAATTTGATAATTGTTAAAAAAAATTGGAAAAAGAAATATTGTTATTTTATCTTTCATAAATAATAACTATTTCTATTGCTAAATATTAAAAAATACAAATTTGTTAGATCGAGTAAAAAGCATGGAATTTAAGAAAATAAGTAATAAATTATAATAAAACCTCTCACATAAAATTTTTTGCTTAATATACTAATCATTTTATCTTAATTTATTAATTATTTCGTTATTTATTATAATTTGTTTACGAATATCTCTTAAATGTGATATGGTGCCATTATATCCTGCAAACGTGTATAATCGATCACGAATTTACGATTTATTATGAAATAACTTTTGTTTGTACGATATCATCAATATCGAACAAGTCATGAACATAAAATATTAATGAGATACTATATTCATGATAACATTCGTTTTCAAGGATGAATATACTCATACAGTTTTGCCCGTAGGTCACAACCGGTTCCATTAAGTTCCTCTATAATCTGGTAAATAGGTACACTTGCTTGCACACGTGCATTTATGGTATTCTTGTGAAATGAGCAATCTTTTGAAATTAATAACTTTTGAATGCACATATAAATTTAATTTGCATATATAAATCTGCATATATAAATATACATAACTTTTAATTATATGTTGTGTAGTTTATATATGTGTATTATATTTTATTAACTTATTTATATTTTTATAAGCATTTATAAAAAAATAATTATTTGAAACATTTAAACTTTTCTAAAAAAGATTTTAATATGGTTATTTTTTATTACTTTTTAATATGATGTTTGAAAAACAGATAATTAAATAATAATCAATTTGATATTTGAAAATTATTTGAAACGTTTAAGTTTTTTTATCAAAGAATTTAATATGACTTTTTTTATACTTTTTTAATATGAGAAGCAGATAATTAAATAATAATCAATTCGGCAATTATGTTGTAATTTTGAAAATTTTACTTTTAGAAATATTTTTCTAAAAGTAAAATTTTCAAAAATTATAGCCTAGAGAATATAATTATATAATTTTATCGGTTTTAAGTGCGCTCTTCCTAAGTTGCTTAGGATATAAAGATGCTATGCGGAAAAGAGTTTCACATACGCAGTATGCAGTCTTTGCATCTTCAGTCCGTTACACGACCTCTTCACACTCATTTCCTCGCTATTGTGACTTATAATTACAGCATCGTTTTGCGGCGGACGCAGCTGCGAAATCTTGAAATGCATTTATCTTGCAAGAAAGGTAAGTGGTTTATTGCATTTTTTACACTTGGTTGTCACGAACAAACAATGTTCGAAAAATTAAAGCAATTATAATTTAATTTAGTAAAACTTTAGTTGTTCATATCATTTATTTTATTACAGTATATTTTTAATATCTAACACATAATGTGTTTCTAATCAATATATAAACTACAATTTAGACAAATTAAAATCGACACGAAAACAATTTGTGATAAGTTCTTATCATACATCCCTGAAGCTAAAATTGTGTAAAGTTTTCAATTTTTTAATCGTTTATGATATTCTAATATCTTTGTTTATAATTTGCTAACTATTAATGATAATATCTTTTTCGATAGAAGTTAATTTTTAAAAATATGAAAAGTTTATGGATATAAAGAAATGACGATGAACTTGTACTGGATTTTATAATAGTACAAGTTTTCTTGAGTAAGATACGTGTAAGTACGTGTTCAGGAACGTATATACGTTGATATCCATGACCTTCATCCTTGCTTGATTTCTGTGACTGTTCATTTCTCTCCCAATGAATAAGAAACATTATAAGCTAGTAATTCAGTCAATCTGTTCGATGTTTTACATATATATGTAAGTATAATATGGAGGATTGCTGGAAGGGAATATTTCGCAGTGAACGCAGTTTTTGCGGTTCAGCTTGATGTACCAAGCAGAAAATAGCGGTAACCGCAATCTGAAGATCATTCAGTGTATTATGGGCAGACTCGTGCGAGGCGTTATTAACCCTGGAAATATAAATTCTTTGTTGCGGTTATATATATTTTCTGTTTACGATTAGAAAATATAGATCTATCTGGGATGGAATATTTTTGTCGCATTTATCAAAATTGATTTGTTTGTATCTCGATAAATTTCATCAAATTTTTATATTAGAATCATTTGATATAACATAAACTAATATTAAAAAGATAACTATATTTTATAATAATTACTTATACAATATTTAGACTTAAATACAAATAAATCTTTATTTGATATTCGAGCAAATGAATCTAAATGAATCAGATCTAAATTTAAAGAATGCATTCGAGTTGAACAGAGAATCTTTAAGATTGGGTCATCTCGCGAAACAACATGAAACATTGACACAATTGCAAGCCTGTGAAATTCTCGATGTAAATGCCATTCACATACAACACTCATGATCATGTAATACTCTGCGTAACATGTAATAACCGGATCTGAAATAAACAGATTCGATAAAGATGATCCTAAAAAAAATTATCTTGCTTGTCGGTGAGAATACTCTAAACTTCCTTGTCGTTCGATTGCACTAACATAAGACTAAGCGCTAGCATAAGTGTTAGAAAGAAAACACAATTGAATCTATTTGCTAGCAAATGAACGTGAGAACGGAAACGAACGCTAGAGATAGCGCAAATTAAGCTTTATTGTTAAGGAACGACAGGAAGAGGCATTATCGTAAGAAGGAAGTTAGTAGGTAATGAAACGGCGCGAATCAGTTCAAACATTACGAAACAGATTGCCATCAAATTTTACAAAACATCAATTAAGTCTAATCTGGACGATTATTAAATATCTGTTAATTTATATCGCGTTAAAAAGTTAATTGGCTATTCAGGAATGTTAAATTGAATATTTGTCTACCTGTGTGAGAGAAGTGATAATTTTATTATATTTCATCAGTTTTCTTTAACTTTTCCTTGTTTAACGATATATTTTAATTTTTTCCTATTTTTCTTTTCTCTCTTTCATCGTCCTTTGTATTTTTTATAGACAATTGGAATTTAATCCTGACTAATCCTGAACTAAAATAATCCTGAGTATATTGATATTACAAGCTGATATTTATATATATTTAAACGCAATTTTTTTCAAATAAAAAAACCTGATATAGAGTCAAATTATACTTATTGATAGACGAAAATGGAAAATGACATATAAATCGGATCAGAAAAGGCGCCTTCACCTCATGCATGTGTAGGGTATAATTGGCAGAATAATTGGCATCGCTCTCCCACTTGCTAAGTGAAGGCTATTCGAAATGGTTTACGCATAAAAAGATTATAATAAAGATTATAATAAAACGTTATAAAAACGTTATTATATTTTAGTAAGATATTAATTTTCAATGTTATAATAAAATATTAAAAATTTCTTTTAATAAAATATATAGCAAAAATGATCAGATGAGTTATAAAACAAATATTTAAAAAATAACGTATATATAATTTCTTTTCCATAATTAATATATCTTAAATTATATAACTTTGCAATTATTAGCTATGTATATAAAATACCAAAAATTATCAAGCAATGCTAATAAAATCTGGGAAGATGATTAGTCTATCCGGAAATTTGTGAGGCCCGCAGGAAGGGAAATCCTTCGTATCTGATTTACCACCCACAGTGAAGCAAAATGCTCCCCACCATCACCGATTACTCACGCGTGCACACATTTGACGCACGCACACGCACTTGATGCGTGCGTATCTATATAGTGCATTAAGCCACGCTTGCACACGCTGTGCGCTCTCTCGCGGGCACTCGTTCCCTTGCTTGCTTGCTGCGAATAGATTCGAGATTTCAGCCGCAGTCGCAGACGTTCGGTGCCCACGATCAGATCGGGGCCCAGCGCGAGAAAGACCCCCGAGTAACGCCGCGTCGATCGCGCTCGAGATCGATCGATCGGATCAAAGTGTCCTCCTATATCTCGTCAACCGGGAAAGCCCCCTTCGAGCACGACGCCTACATGCTCGTACGAAGCTAAGGACACGGTGGTGATCCTTTGATTCGATCGATTGATCGATTGATCTAGCGCGTCGCCGCGTGCAAATCTTTGGCATCTGTCTCCCGCGAGAGAGAAAGAGAGAAGTATCGAAAATCAGGGCGAATAAAGGGGAACGGAAACGCTCGATGTTCGGTTCGTGTTATCGATCGACTAAAAACCGACAGGTCGAGAGATGGATGCAGCCGCGAAAGATCGCCGACAAGATTTCATCCCGGCATAGATCGATCGGGTACTATCATACGTGATGGTTGATTTTGTGAGTAACGTAATATGTTAATCGGATGATCTAAAATCGATTATATATAGAACGATCGGGGTTGTATTAAGCGGTTTAGTTAATTTCAAAATTCAATGGTGTTTTTGTCGATTTTGATATTTATGAGTGTCGGAACAACAGTGATCGTAGGGAGAAGCCATTTGACTTGCAGATATATCCGGCCGCTTGAAGAGACAATAATGATGACCATTGATGCTTTAAATTACACCGCATGACACTTGGCTGTGCAAAATTTCGGATAAACAAATTGGATAAACAAATTGAAGTAACGGAGATGGGGAAATCTTAAAGTGCTTAGGTAAGATTTTGATTAATCACGATTTATATAATTGATCATATTAAGATTACAATCAAAATGAATTGAGGAAAAACAGGCAAAAAACCACAGCGCTAGGATAATGATTGCTAAAATTAAAAGAAAATTTTTTTAATATATAATAAGTCAACGCATGTAACTTATAAAATTATCAGATGACAATTAATTACATCGACAGATGCGCGTTTCGATCCCGTTTGGATCATTATCAATGTCTAACAGCAAAAATTCAAAATAACGGAAAATTATAAAAATAAAACATAAGTCAAAGTCGCAATAAAGTTAATAAGAACAGAGATCTCACGGACGCAAACAGAAAAATACAAGAACAATATAATATAAATCGGATATAATAAAAATATTAAGATTATTAAATGAGAATACATGCTTACAATACAAATTTCAATTTATGATATAAAATTTTATTAGCTTTATTATCAATAATTAAATTAACTACGATAACGAGTATATAATTTTTTTTGCTCTTTGAGAATAAAAAAACAAATAATTAAATATATCAAATTGTAATTATAATACAATTAATTGTTATTTTTATATTAATAAAATATTATTGCTCTGTCACAATTGTCAATAATATTGTGGCCATCTACAGAAAAACGAACATCACAAAAATGAGCAATCTTTATGTAAATAAAAATGTATTTTGTCCTATGGACGAATCCACTTTAATTTTTCGCTCATGTCTTGATCTTGAAACGTTTTTATTCTGTTTGTACTTATATGAAATTTCAGATTTTAAGTCAAAATAAATGCTTGCGTTAAAAGTCTATTAATTTAATTTTTTATTTTAAATCTTTTAAACTTTTATATACATAAAAATAAAAAATCTATCAATTTTCGTAAAATATATTTTGGATCTTTTAGACACAATTATGTAAGTGATAAAAGAAAATTAATTTGTGTGTAATATTAGTTAAAAAATTCATGTAAAAGATATAGTAATTTTTTTACATTTTTCCTCGATGAAATATCTTGAATATAACATAAACCGCCATCGATTGCCAATAGACTAAAAGATCGGCATCTGCTATAATAAAGTAAGTCTTTTTGCAGGAAGAGAACTTATTGTTGATAATAAATATGCATAGGTATGCGTGCGAACTCGCTGCTCCGACATTGCGTATCAACTTATCCAACGTGTTATTCAACATCATGTTCATTCAAACACTCATATGGCACTTCAAAATTAATCGAAATTCTATCCGGATTATTTGTACTATAATCGCAATTTAATCCGCTCCGTTTGTTTCATCGTCCAACGAGCAGCTTGCTCGTATATTTGTGATTATGCAATCGCAAATCATTAAAATCTAATACAATTTGTGAGGTATATATATATATATATATATATATATATATATATATATTTATTTATTTATGATACACAAAATATAAAATTTATATAACATAATATTAAAAAATAAAAGTACAAATGATATAATTAAGCAATTATGAAAAAAAGGTTTATAAAATATTAAAATTGCAGACTTTACTTATGATTAGCTATGCTATGACTTTTTGATTTACCATTAACGCAGGAGTTTAATGAAGATAAGTTAAATAGGATGCAATATATGGGGAACGACTCATGATGCGGTAAATTATAATTTTAAGTGATGACTATTTATTTGCATTATTGCGCAATAAGTGTCACATAAATTCAGGTCGTCAGGGATTAGACTTTCTCGCATGATTTAAGTATAATTCTTTTTAAACAAGGAAACAATTAATTGTATCGCATCGAAACATCAATCTCTAATCAATGTAAATTATGAAAATTATAGACGATAAATATTTTTTTGATAAACAAATAGATATTACTCAATGTTTATTTCGTAATTGTTATTATAATTTGTTATTTACTTTTATTATAATAGATTTAGATAAAATAATATCAATACATGCAATCTTATCTTCATTTTTATAATTATTATTTCGTTAATAAAAGGATGCTTAAGAAATCATATTACATTTTCATCGTGCTACATTGGAGAAGAAATGAAGCACAAAATATTTAGCAATCAGTATCTGACCGAAGAGGACAGGTAGTCTCGGCAGAAAGTTGGATTGCGGCATAGCAGCCTTGAACTCATTGTACTTAGGGAGTTGAAGAAATTTGTTCTAGTCATCCGCATGATTTGCTTCGATCTCAAAAGAATTTTAACGCGTTATATCCTCGCACTATTAAAACATTAACCTTCGGTCAGTTGTCAAGTACTTTTTATCGAGTTATTTTTTGCCAAATAACGTTAAGTAACAAGAATGTGCATTGTATCAATCACGATTGGTAGACTTATCAAATTCGTTTTAAAAAATTTCAAAAAAGCGATATATCAAACACAGAAACAAGAAGGAAATAAAAATGCTAGACAGATTAGCGCATCTCTATCTAATTACGAATACAACCTTCAGCACGTGAAAGCAGTACAGTTGTCTGCTACGACGTACTTTCATACGCACATTTATGCGTCAGACTAATAAAACGATCCAGACAGGATTACTAAGCGATTTATTTATAAACTCGCGCAAAAAGCTTCGCTTCGTAAATTTTTATTGCAATCAATTACATCGAAGGGATATCCCCCTTATCGTTCAGCAGTTGCATATGCTCAACACATGTGAATACTCTGATTTGTGATACGATACGTGAGCATATTCGAGTGAATACCTGAAGCAGAATTTGTTGTACCGATGCCTGTAATCAATCGCTTATAATTTAACAGCACTTTCTTCAAAAAATAACATTACATAAAATTGTGCATTTTCATTCGTATACTCACCACATATTTAACGCAGTCCTTGCGTTAATGTGATTTACATGGGAATGTGATTTACATAGATAAATAAATTTTATATTCTAATTTTATAATCTAATACATAAACATTGTGTTTATGTCACACAACATGTTCTTGAATTACACAATAGTCACTTTCAATTCTTTATGTTTTTGACTCTTGTTGCAATCAGTAATCTACATAGTGATGTGAAAAAAGTATGTGAAAAAGATCGATTTGTTGCACCTGATTTGCTTCAGAAGTTACTGAACTACTTTCGATGATGCCAAAGCGAATGGTTCATTTGCTTGCGTATAGTAAAGGAGTCAAGGAGTGAATTGCGTATTAATAGTTGATTTGCCACGTGGTACTCTGTTTTATTATATAAATTCAATAAGAATATCTTCAAACGATTCTTCGTGATAAACGAGCTGATCGGTGATATCGTTGAACTACAAGTTTAGTTGTACCATTGAGATCCGCGACGATCTCGTCAGACTAATGTTTCGTACATACACAATCGCGAAATGATTTTATTTCAATGAACTTTCCATCATATGTATTTGCGAACGCAGACAAGGAAATAAATACATAGATAATGTATATAAATCATAGTTTGCGCGCGCGTAATTGACAATTAAACAGATACTGTACTAGAGTATTATGCGTACTTGATATATTTTATCACTAGAAAATATGAATATTTTTTATACAATTCTTTTTTGCATATTATTATTTTACTAATCATTTCCATTGAATTTGCGAGATATTAAAATTCATTAAAATATTTATAGAAATAAGTGTGACAAAAACATAATGTGTGACATACATATTTTACATAAAAGCAGATTTAATAAAAATTTTTAGATTTAATGAATGCCAATTATTCAAATATATTCGATAACTAGTAACAGTAGAAATCTATTTTTTTTGGCATTATATAAGTGTTAAAGAAATATTTAGGTCATGGTATTGATGCTGCTCACCTGATTACGGTTAATTAACAACATCTTCGCCGAGTCCTTGATGAAAACCTTCAGATATAAGGATGTCGCTAAAAAACATATGAATTATTACTAAATTATAAAAAAAAGATAGTAAATTTAAAAATTATAAAATAACTTAATGTCGCTAGTCAAATAATCAAAGGATCATTGAAAAAAAGTCGACCAAACTAGCCAGAAAATTTGTTTATTAATACGACGTTTTGACCATATGGTTGTGGTCCTTATCAAATATATACTGAAAAAAATTTATAAATAAATAAATAAATTAATTAACGGTTTGAATACATAGTACACACAACGAATTAAAGTGTGAACAATTTTTTACCGATGTAATAATAATCAGGAGACAGGCATAGACGATAATTTTGTAAAACTGCACAAGTCACATTAACAAAAAACGTTATTTAACTAGATTCGAATTTGATTCGAAACTGATGTGTCTGTGTGAGACTTCGTCAAGAAACTAAACACAACCAGAGGAAAAACGAAACTACGTGACCTTTATTATTTTGTCGTAAATGTTGTTTAAACTATTTAAGACACTCCGTGTCTTTCTATAGGTTGATTAGATTATTAAATCTCTTGATAAAGAACATCTCAGCAATCTCTCTCTTTCGAACATACTTTTCATTATGCAAAAAAACCCAATATTTTGTCTTTTTTATTTTATATTTTATATAAAAGAATATTGCAGGGAAATGATGAAATAGATAATGAATTTAATAAATTTACTACAAGATGAAAAAAATATAGATGAAACTTTTTTATCTTAGTAGTTCTCATATATTTTTAAATAACTGACATATTTGCGATTATATGTATATTTTGCACTTACAATTTTTTATTTGATTTAGTTCACTAACGATATAACGTAAAAATAGATCACATTAATAATACGATAGCTGACAGTGAGATATTATACTTGCCTTTCTTTATTTCGCATTAACCGTCTTTTTTATTCGCGTTGTTTGTTACGATTATATACGTCATTACTGAAATTACGTACTTAATATTAGAATGTATCTTACTACTTGAGCGAGAATTTCATCAATAGCGTTACACATGTACAATCGCGCAATCATATACGTTATAATCACCGTCAATAATAGACCTCGCCCAACGTTAAAAGTAAGGTACATTTCAGTTATTTATCAGATTTAAGCTAGTGGAAATTAGAAC